AAAGTAAGATGCACATTTTATTGCAATAGAGAAAAAGGGAGCGATTCTCCTGTTGTTGCTGTTGAAGTGCTAAGATTATGCTTGGTACAGAACATGTCTGTTTCATCAGAGTTTTCCTTATCCATACCCTTTAATCTGCAGCTCCAAAGACTGTGGAGGGCAGTTGGTATGGTGTAGTGGTATAGCATGCTGCCCTGGGCTATAGAGGTTCTAATCCTAATTCTGCATGACTTTCAAGTAAGTCACTCTTCTTCCCCACCTGTAGAGCGCTCTGAGATCTATGGACCAAAAATGCTCTATAAAAACTAGATGTTGCTATTATCCTTTGTTCTGATTCCCCAGCCTCAGTCCCCATCTTCCTCTTTCATGTTCTATATTTCCATCCTTCAATCTATCTCTGTGCAACTACTTCTCCCTACGAGACCCATGCAGCCTTTTAAGTCCCCCTTGAATCCTACTTTTCTTTCTCCGGCGTTGATTTTCATCGAAACATTTTGCTACATACTTAAAATGAAACCAGGTGATTCCTATGTTCATTAACACATTTTGAAGCCACGTTGGTCCCAGGATATTAGAGAGACAAGGTGGGTGAGGTGATATTAGTGTGAGCAGATGTCTCGATTTTGTAGGGACACTCCCGATATTCAGGGCTTTGTCTTATATAGGTGCCTATTACCCCTCCCCCACCCCCATCCCCATCCCCATTTTTCATATTTGTTATCTGGTCACCCTAGGGGATATCTGTTACTGGACCAACTTCTATTGGTGAGAGAGACAAACTTTCAAGCTTACTCAGTTTTCAGAACTGAAAACGAACTCTGTGTAGCTGGAAAGCATCTCTCTCACCACCAGAATTTGGTCCAATGAAAGATACCACCTTGCCCATGGGCCTTGTCTCTCTAAAGATGGAGCATTTCATTTACCCCAGTGTGTCCGACCCAGCTGCCATCAGAGATACGTCAAGGAACCTGGCTTGCAGCCCACTTCCACTGTACAAATCTCATACATTACATGACTTAGGAAGTATTATAATTAAGATAAGTAGATACTGAGGAAATCGCTAAATAGAAACAATCTGGAAATTTATTAGGCTTGCCAGGGGTTGCTGTGAGGGGAAATCTCCCATTTATGAAGTAACAGATTTATCAAGATAAAGAAGCCCAGAACAGTGCTTCTGGCAGGATGCCTGATTATCTGCAAGATGCTTGCTCAGGGCTGTGGGCGCTGATGTACCCAGCAGGGCCCTGGCGTCCCTGTTAAGGCTGGGAGGGGTGAGACTGGCTGCTGCATGCAGGGAGAGGGAGATTTTGTTGGTAGTTGAAGATTTATTCAAGGTGTGGTGTTTGAAATGGGGGAAGGGGGAATCATCCAAATCCAGCTGCATGGATTATAAGGTTTTTTGCTGTGGGGAGGCATTCTCTCCCTGCACCGTCTCCCTACCGACAAACCTCTGCTGCTCACACGCGTTCCAGGTGGCAGTCAGTATTTCACATCCTTGTAAGTACCCTATAGACTAGATCCCCTCCCCACCCCAACACACAGATCCAGCATGTGGGTCTCAATGTGGTGCGTGCCTTCTTATGGCCGGGAGATGAGAGGAGTTGGTTTAGGGAGAGAGAGCCAGCATGATGCCTGTGCAGCATTTAAGTGTTGCACAGGGGTAAATGTCCCCCTGGGTGAATATCCTTTCATGCCCCCTACAAAGCTGCCCTCTGTAGCAGGAATCCTGGGGGCTTCTTTCTTTCTTTCTTTCTTTCTTTCTTTCTTTCTTTCTTTCTTTCTTTCTTTCTTTCCCAGAAGTTCTTACAACCACATACTTTTTTGATTCAATAATTAAAATGCATGTGCTGGTGTACACACCCTCCTTTCAGTTCCATCAGGAACTAGATGGTTCCTAACTGAATGAGTGAGATGCAAAGAGTCAACGGCTCAGTTTCTTTCAGGAGGAGGGTGGGGGCAATGTCTGCAGGGTGAATTTTCTCCAGTGAAAGCAGCAAAGAGTCCTGTGGCACCTTATAGACTAACAGCCGTATTGGAGCATGAGCTTTCGTGGGTGAATGCCCATCTCTTCGGATGCATGTG